TGAGCCCGAAAAGTGCCTAACTATCAGGCGGCGAAGCGGCACTTTGGAGATCTCCCCTTACTAGGACCACCCCCTCCCCCCCCCCCGTCACTTTCCTCGATTCACTTGCTCTTCGGGGGGCCATCGCAACCCAAGGACATTAAGATGGTCGTTGGTACTGTTCTCATATCACCAGCAATTAGACTTATCAGGCGGCGAAGCTGCACTTTGGAGATCTCACCTTACTAGGACCACCCCCCCCCCCCCCCCGTCACTTTCCTCGATTCACTTGCTCTTCGGGGGGCCATCGCAACCCAAGGACATTAAGATGGTCGTTGGTACTGTTCTCATATCACCAGCAATTAGACTTTCCCAGAGGATTGGAATGGTACATCTGCGTCATAATATTTACCACTGCCCATCCCCGGGGAAAGCGCGGGACGCACTCTGACAGAGTTTTCTACAGTGAGCTACTACCTCGTAAATAGCTCACGAAGTAGCTGGGGACGAAACGGTCGCCTAGAAACAGCCTCGTTAAGATAAACAGCATATTCATTAGCACAAGACTGCCACCACCCACCTCATGCCTCATATCCGTCATCGGCATGACAGTCATCATGAACTTTACCCTGTTCCTACCGTTGGTTCAACTGAAGAAAGCCAACATCTGGCCAACATCTGGCCAACATCTGGCCAACATCTGGCCAACATCTGGCCAAGTCACTGTTCGTTTTTATTTGCTACAGCCTGGGTTGCTACCATGCACGCCCTTTGTATTGGCTACAACCTGAGTTGCTACCATGCACGCCCTTTGTATTGGATACAACCTGAGTTGCTACCATGCACGCCCTTTGTATTGGCTACAACCTGAGTTGCTACCATGCACGCCCTTTGTATTGGCTACAACCTGAGTTGCTACCCTGCTCGCCCTTTGTATTTGCTACAACCTGGGTTGCTACCTGGGTTACTATCCTGCTCGCCGTTTGTATTTGCTACAACCCGGGTTGCTACCATGCACGCCCTTTTTCATCACACGTAAGACCACGCACTTGTGGCTATGTTCCCCGGACAGCGCTAGAGGGGTCGGTGGATGCGCCTCTAAAGTCAGCATGACAATACAGACAAGCTGATGGAAACCGCGATGTTGGAGCTTGGGGGGGGGGGGGGGGGGGGGGGGGGGGGGGGGGGGGGGGGGGGGGGGGGGGGAAGGGGGACAAGTTACTAGTTTGATCGAATTATTCTTGAAAAACAAGGCTTGACATACTATTGCTGAAAACTTGCCTGGCTATTACTAAACGAAGCTTGCGGTCAAAATTCCATAGAGAAGTAATTGAAAACAAATGAACATCCCTTTGACAGACAGCACAACCGAAAGGCTCATAAAGATATGTCTCTTTAGACATTAGACTGGAATTATATCACATTTTTACTATGTTTAATAAGCTGTTTAGATTGCATGGAAATGAGAGGAAACAACGTATGGGAAATTCTTAAGAAAAACAAAGAGCGCAAAAAGAAAACAAGGAACGTGTCGGCAAGAAGCCTTCGTCAGTGAAACAAACAACAGTAACAACAGAAGCAAGACACTATGTAATCCTTGCTAAGCATCGAACATGTGTAATCTGTTTTCAAATTATATAGAAGCAATGATTATAAAATAGGGATCTTTGTAAATTATAAATTGCAAGATGGCAACATGCTTAAAAATATATTTATTAGCACAATAAAAATGTTGTTGATTTCATGTACGTTGAGCTTGATCAAAAGAAAAACTGGGGGGGGGGGGGGGGTGGGGGGTGGGGAAATGATATTTTGTTTTACAAAAATTAAGAAGTTAAATAGTGCACGACTCATCAATTTTTATTTTATCAGATGTTTTTGTGTAAAACGCGCTCTCGTGGGGATTTCTACACGCGGTTTCTACTTTGCGATTGAGTCACATTGTAGCTGGGACGAAACGGTTGCTTAGGAACAGTCCCCTCACAGCCTTTATAATGTATAATCATCGGCATTGGATGCCACAACTTACCCATGCCTCATATCCGTTTACGGCAGCCTGTAATAAAGTTTTCTGAATAACAAAATTTACTTTTTTGTGCCATTTGTATTTAATTCACTATTAAAAAAAAAATATTCTTTTTTTTAAATATCCCAATGACAAACAATATGTCAAACCATCCCAAACGTTTTTTTTTTTTTTTTTACTTTTTTTTTTTTTTTAAATTGAAATTCAAAAAAAAATTTTTAAAAAAATTGTTGTTTTTTTTTTTTTTAAAAAAAAATTATATTTCGATTATCATGATAATTTCTTTTTTTTTTTTTTATTGTTTATTTAACTAGCAAACAATTTTTATTTTTTTTTTTTTTTTTGTACAGTCCAATACTGATCAATTGAGTCATTGCATTGCTGTCTTACATAATTAAATCAATGTTGTAATGGTATCACCATTGGCAGTGATGCCCGTTAAAATTGAATGCGTGTTCACATACAACACATGCATCGTGATGTGTGGGAAATAGCGTTTTGACAATAGCCTACGACTATTTGTACCCGGGTACCCGAAGTGAGAGGTTGGAATTTTAAAAAAATTTAAAAGTGAGTCAAAATGGACCCAGACACGCAGCGCCGCCATTCGCACCCGGGTACCATTAGACTGAAGCTATTCGTGTGTCATTTGTGGTAGTTCATTTTAGTTAAAATGAAGAATTAAGTTTACAAACATAAAGTCCATTCAATTATTTATAATATCTATAATAGAGACTTACTGTTAGCCCCTGGAGATGACTTTGTTTCGTAAAGACTAAACTAGAGTTAAGGATAAGTAGGCCTATAGCATGGCATAGCATTACTGCTAAATTTATCTTATTTTCTTGTTGAGAAAAAATAATATTATTTATTTTGTGTAATGTTTTCATTTAGTGTAAAAATTCTTAAAACAGTGTAAAAACCAATATGGTATGTAAATCCACAAAAACGGGTTTGGAAAAAGCTAAGTATTTGATTTATTGAGTCGATTTCAAGGCTAAAGCCCAGTCAGAAATGGTATAGTCAATGTGTATGATGTCTTATGTAATTCACCCTTTGACCAGAACCGTCAGGCCTTCTCTGCCTGTAACATACACGCTGTGAAGATAACAACATGGTGGTGCATGATCTGACGTTCAGTTGCACACATACAAAGAAGAAGCACAGCACTGCTATAAAACAAGCTTAATTCCCGGCTAATTTCATATCATAACGGTTTTGTTTCAATGACAGTCATTGAATCATTGTAAATGTATCACAATTTATATGATGCACTGTTTAATAACGACTAGCATTCTGATATAGTAAAAAAAAAGACATTATTGGCGGTTTAAACAAGAAAAAAATCCGAGATCAAGACTTTCAATGAGCCAATTTAAAATGTAACATCTATAACAAAAGAAATGGATGAAACAGATCTGACCTTACTTTCAAACTCATGCTGACCCACGTACCTCGTCATGGACAAAGTTATGGCGGCAATTATTACAATTTGAACATTGTTCAGGATTTAAAATGTCAATATTTTATGCCAGATAAGATTTTAAAAAGAAAGGACAGCGATGTCAGAGGCAATGACGATGCAGCCAGACAATGTTTAAGACAAGCAATTTAAACTAATGTCATATGGGATTCACATAAAATACAATGAACATAATTGCAGTAAAAAAAAACAATTTGTTTGCTATGAGAAAAATCATATTAATCTTGCTGACGGATAAAATGGTTTAAATAAAACAATTGAACAAAGATAATGTTTTCGATAGCTGGCAATTCCAAATGTCCTGCCATTCCACTTCCACTTCATTTTAGTCTTGAATAGAAAAATAAGACATCTTGATCAATGTACCGTAATGGACGATGCCTTCGCAGACAATTGTGATGTCTTTAATAGAAAATGATAGGGAATGACAATGGTTTGAATTATTGTCTTCGCTGGCTAATTGTAGCCTTGGAAAGATTGGTGGCGCAAAGACTTAATGTCACTAAGGTGTACTTCGGTGGATGTGGCAGACGGCTAATGTACTTCATTTCCCATTAAGCTCGTTTTTTTACTTTATGTTCGCAAGCCTCGATGGATAAAATATGTTTTATATTGTTGAAATATCCGTCGCAATTACTATGAGTCTCTGTTTATATTTATTAGGATTGTTTGATAGCGACTTTAATCGCCAGCTGGCTCAAAGTGTTACGGTAACTTGGTGTGCAAACAGCGAACACGAAACATGAATTTGTGTACAAATAATGGTGGAAGTAGACTCAGGGTACCATTGATTGTACAGTGTACAAGATCATAAGTGACAAAGGAAGAAGTCACGAGAGTTCAGACACATGTGTAACGCACATTTTTAAAAAATCACTTCTGGCTATGGCGGATGTTAAATAATGTGTCAAAACTCAGACGCTACAAGATGTAACGCTTTTAAAAAAGTAAATTCTGCAAAAAATTTGGAAAGCGATAAAACCAGTGTGCATTTTTTTTAAAGATAAAAGTAGTGGATCTATCTGACGCGTCTTTAGTAACAGAAACTTTACGTATGAAAACGAATAATTGTTTATACATTCATTGAAGTCGACAAACTACGCCTCTGATCACATGACATTATGGCCACCCACAAGCAGTCCTATGTAACAATAAAACACTCATCAAGAAAATAACATATAAGTCATAATAAATTAAACTTCATGGGATGAATCCTTGGAGACCAAAGTTGTAGCAACAGTATCAGTTTTTGATTTTTTTTTAATATTTTTTTTAATTCCTTTCAAAGAGAGAAGCTAAACATTTAAAATGTCCACCACGGCGCCTCAGCATTTTGAAAACATTCAACCCAAGTCACTGGACGGCTCCTACACAAATGGTACATCTAGAGATATTCTGTACGATTCCTTTATATTTGACGGCCGCTTAATCAGAGTAGTAAGATTGATTACTCCAGAACAACTTTACATAGTGTACATGATTTTCGTCAGAGGACTTGTCAACATTCTCTCTCTTTGGGGGCTCTTCGGAAACGTGATCACGGTGTTAGTTCTAACCAAGCAAGGTCTTAGAGACACACTAAATATCCTCCTGACTTCAATCGCCGTTTTCGACACGGTCTTTTGTTTTACCCAGCTCCTTCAAGAAGGCATATTCATATTGAACAATTATGACACCCATGCAGGAAATAAATATCTCATAGCTTACTTTCAAGGAATCGTACAGTGGAATCACCTGGCGCTGACATCAAGTATTTACAGCGTCGCTATCATCGGAGTCGAACGGCTGATCGCAGTCTGCTTTCCGTTCCTCGCCGCCAGAATATGTACGCCCTACAGAACCAAGTGTCTCGTCGTTCTAACCGAGGTCTTCATCTTCACGTTCACATTCCCGCAACTGTTTTTATTCACCGAGTACAAGTTCCAGAAACACCTGGTCGTTCGTCTGATTAGAAGCTGGGCGACAAACTCCCACGCCATGTTCTACTGGATTTATCTCATGCCATTGGTTCAAGTTATCCTGCCACTGTGTGTGCTGACCATTTGCTACTCCGTGATAGTGGTCATGTTAAGAACGGCTTTCAAAAAAAAGTCCAAAATGGCATCAAAAATTACGAAATCCAAAAAGTTGAAAGAACTTAAAATTTTCCGATTGTTATTTACCCTAATGACATTGGCCTTGATATCATTTTTACCAGCAGTATTGATGTCGATGACCCTGTTCTCCACCAAAGCATCCGGTTTTGTATTGAATACTGACAGCTTTGACTTTATTCAAATTTTGGTTAAGTTTTTTTCCCACTTATTCCCGTCGGCGAATTTTATCATCTATGTCACTCTTAGCTCAAAGTTTGCAGCAACGTATCGCAGTATGATGAGAGGTATTCCCCTAACCAAACAATGGCACGTGGCACAACAATGTCACGGTGTAAAAGTCTTTGCCCGCAGAGACAAAATAAAGAGAGCCAAGTAGGAAATTAAAATGACACAGAAAATTGCCAAGGCATGCCATTTTTTTTTTATTTCATTTTTTTTTTTTTTTTTTATTGACTATTTTTGGGGGTTTTCTCAAGTTACTTTTTTTTTTTTTTTGTAAATTTTTTACCTATTGTTTTTTTTTTTTAAAATTTCCCAGGCCTGCCATTTTTTTTTTATTTCATTTTTTTTTTTTTTTGTAGTGACTATTGTCGGGAGTTCTCGCAAGTGACATCTTTTTTAATAGTGCAAATTCTTCACCGATCGTTTTTTTCTTTAAGCTATGATAAAGCTATCACATATAAGGACACGGGCTCTGATCAAGCTATCACATATAAGGAAACGGGCTCTGATCAAACTATCACATATAAGGACACGGGCTCTGATCAAGCTATCACATATAGGACACGGGCTCTGATCAAACTATCACATATTTGGACAAGGGCTCTAATCAAACTATCACATATTTGGACAAGGGCTCTGATCAAACTATCACAATATTTGGACACGGGCTCTGATCAAACTATCACATATGTGGACACGGGCTCTGATCAAACTATCACATATTTGGACAAGGGCTCTGATCAAACTATCACATATTTGTACACGGGCTCTGATCAAACTATCACATATGCGGACACGGGCTCTGATCAAACTATCACATATTTGGACAAGGGCTCTGATCAATCTATCACATATTTGGAGACGGGCTCTGATCAAACTATCACAATATTTGGACAAGGGCTCAAATCAAACTATCACATATAAGGACAAGGGCTCTGATCAAACTATCACATATTTGGACAAGGGCTCTAATCAAACTATCACAATATTTGGACACGAGCTCTGATCAAACTATCACATATGTGGACACAGCCTCTGATCAAACTATCACATATTTGGACACAGCCTCTGATTAAACTATCACATATTTGGACACAGCCTCTGATCAAACTATCACAATATTTGGACATAGCCTCTGATCAAACTATTACATATTTGGACACAGCCTCTGATCAAACTATCACATATTTGGACACGGGCTCTGATCAAACTATCACATATTTGGACACGGGCTCTGATCAAACTATCACATATTTGGACACGGGCTCTGATCAAACTATCACAATATTTGGACACGGGCTCTGATCAAACTATCACATATTTGGACACGGGCTCTGATCAAACTATCACAATATTTGGACACGGGCTCTGATCAAACTATCACATATTTGGACAAGGGCTCTAATCAAACTATCACATATTTGGACAAGGGCTCTGATCAAACTATCACAATATTTGGACACGGCTCTGATCAAACTATCACAATATTTGGACACAGCCTCTGATCAAACTATCATATATTTGGACAAGGGCTCTGATCAAACTATCACAATTTTTGGACACGGGCTCTGATCCTTATTGCTGTGGAAGTAAAACAACAATAACTGTTCAAACCATGAAAACCTAGATTAGCAAAAAATGTATATTTTCCTTTAAATGTTGGATTTTACTCTGAGAGCCTAGTCAAAGTATTGTAACAAAGCGTTATTCTTTTAAATTTAGAATTTTATTCTAAATTTAAAAGAATAACGCTTTGTTACATTCAAAATATTTCCAATTTTAAAAAATGATTATCGTTTTCTTAAATTTACAAAGAAGTTAATCGACAGAGTTAGGTAAAAAATGTAGACATCTATTAAGCAATAAAATAAAATGTCAGGGAAAAAAATAGTATAATAATATTTTATAAATTTAATATAAATATATGGATGGTACTCATAGGAAAGCATTTTTTTTTTAACTTCGTCTCCACCTTAACTCTATACGAGCTCAAAAGTATTTTTAGGCAGTTGCTCTTGCTCATGTGAGTGACGTCTCTTGATCTTTACAGATCCTACCCATAATATTTCGTTATGTTTGAATTGCAGTGGCCTTGACACCTCGTACCATAGAGAAGACGACTGGGTGAAATCTGTTTCCACGCACTTCGCCTTCAGTCACGGAGTTTGCTGGGCAAAAGTCCAGTCGTAAATGTGAGAAACTCGTATGAGTGACATCAGGAAGCCGAGATGCTTGTAGGCTGTTGACATGTCGCTAAACAGTTCAGCATAGTTTTAAGGTGCCTGTAGCCCGTTGAAATGTCGCTAAAGAGTTCAGCATAATTCTGAGTTGCTTGTAGGCTGTTAAAATGTCACTAAAGTGTTCAGCCTAGTTCTGAGCTGCTTGTTCAAAGTTCAAAGTTTGCATCAACGTATCGCAGTATGATGAAAGGTGTCCTAGTAGCACAACTGTGTCACATAGCACAACTGTGTCACGTAGCACACTTGTGTCACGGGTAAAAAGACTTTGCCGGAAGAGAAAAATAGAAAGGCGCCAAGTAGGAAACTAAACCTGAGACAGAAAGACGGCACTCTTGTCCATGGTAAGATAGAAGGGCGCCAAGTAGGAAACTAAACCTGAGACAGAAAGACGGCACTCTTGTCCATGGTAAGATAGAAGGGCGCGAAGTAGGAAACTAAACCTGAGACAGAAAGACGGCACTCTTGTCAATGGTAAGATAGAAGGGCGCCCTCATCCTTTGATTTGGACTCTGTCTTTCTGCACACTCTTGTCCATGGTAAGATAGAAGGGCGCCAAGTAGGAAACTAAACCTGAGACAGAAAGACGGCACTCTTGTCCATGGTAAGATAGAAGGGCGCCAAGTAGGAAACTAAACCTGAGACAGAAAGACGGCACTCTTGTCAATGGTAAGATAGAAGGGCGCCAAGTAGGAAACTAAACCTGAGACAGAAAGACGGCACTCTTCTCAATGCTTCGGCGAAGCAGCATGCCGTCTTTTTTCTTTCTCAATAGTCGGGAGTCCTTACACGTGATATTGTTCTTGATTAGTCCAAATTCTCAAATCAATCATTGCACTTTAAGGCCTGTGTATATTTCTGGTTATATTGGAATAATCTTTTTCGGCTTTGCTGATGAGGGAAGCATCAGAACGATTTATTTTGGGTTTTTTTACCAAGAAGAAATTTTTCTTACGTTTCATACAGTTTCTACATGTTTCGATCAGAACCTTTCACATATGTGGACACGGTCTCTGATCTTAATAACGGTGGACGTAGATTATCGATAACTTTTCAAAGGATGAAGCCTAGATTTTAAAAAAAAAAGGAACAGTTGTATTTTCCTTTAACTGTTGGACTTTACTCTGAGATCATAGTCAAAGAAACATAGCAAAAAGTTATTCTTTTATAACTTAAATTCAGGATAAAATTTCAACCTATTTCCAATAAGAAAATAAGTTCTGTTTTTGTTTTTTTTTAATATGCAAAGAAATCAAACTTTATGAATGAAAACCTCTCGAAATCTATTTAAAAATGTAAGAAAAAAGAATATTAATATAATATTTTATAAAGATAATATAAATATGTGTATGTTTCTCGTGTCAAAACCATGCTTTAATAGAGATTATTACATCAAGAAATGGCGACAGCGGGGCGAGTTTGCACTCTTTATGCCCCCCCCCAAATTACCCCTCCCCGGCCCAACGTATCGGGCCGCGCAGTGTCACGTTGGAGATGCCAAATTGTCAGGACGGCCCCCCACCCGGGCCCCTCACCCAGGTCCCCCACCCGGGCGCCTGGGCGCTTGACCAGGACCCCGCCTGGGGGCCACCCCAACCAGCAGGCATCTGGTCGGTCCGACACTATGCGTTTAAACAGTGCACACGATCGACTTTCTTTAGGAGTTGGGATGGAAAATTTACTTCCTAATATCTTCCCCCACCCATCCCGGGAAAGCGTTAGACGCCCTATAAGAGGGATTCCACAGTGGGTTTCCACAACGCAACTAGCTCGCGCTGTAGCTGGGATGAAACGGTTGCCTAGGGACAGTTTTCTCAGGGCTGCATTATTTGAATCCTCGGCCAGAGGTTACCACCTTCGCCTCTGGCCTCATACCCGTCACCGGCAACTTGTAATCATGATCCCTACCCTGGCTCTGCCTAATTTTCCAGCTGTGATATATCACAACTGGCAACCCTGTGGGAGCTGTTTCATGTACGGCAGGTACCGAGCACATCCCTTGTCTGCCCACGCAGGACGTGCCCAGTAGTTTTGTCCCCCGGGTAACGCCGAGGGGGTCGGTGGCCGACGCCTCCTAATCGACAAACCACCACAGACTTGTCAACTGGAGCCCCGGAGGAGGGGGGGGGGAGTCTAGAGATAAAATATTCCATTTGGTCAAAGTCTAAAAGTAAAATATTCACTAAACATATCCATAGTCACTGCAGTCTACCCCTCATCTTTTCTTCAATTTATACATGTAGTAATTTTTAAAGAAAATTATGTTTTTCATTTTTTATTTTGCTTTATATTTTTTTCTTCTGGTGTCTCCTGCTTCCATTTCACAAGAACCACCCCCACCCTCCCTTCTCAAGCCTGTTTTATATTGATAGTACTGAGTGAGGAGAAAAAAAAAGCTGTCAAGCGTGACGGTGGAACTCAGGTAAAAAGTGTGATTTTTTTTTCTTTAGAGGGATGTGACTATTATGTTAATTTTAAAAAGCCACAGTTATGGTGTAGGACTGTCCGTAGGACTGTCTGTAGCACTGTCTGTAGATCTGTCTGTAGTACAGTCTGTGGGACTATTGTTTTAATGGCCGACGGGTAGGGTGTAGGACCTACTGTAGGACTGCTGTTTAAAGCCCGCCAGCATACTGGCTACACAAGTAATATTCCCCACATGATAAAGGATCTTAAAGTTTTCAATTTTTCAAATCCTTACATAATGGATGACGTTCTGAATTGAAGGATAAAATAGATGTGCTTGATGTCGTATTTCATAATTTTAAAATTAATTAAAATCAAATTAGTTTGCGTTTTTACTGTAATCCTAACACGCAAATGTATAATGATTTCAAATAAATATTTTGAAAGGTAAGTACCTCCATCTGTTAATGGAAAAATAACATTAAAATTATTTTGAAAAAAAGATTTGTTTCATCTAAAGAAAACGAAACAAGACTATGCAAGGCTACTTGTCTTTCGCCTATAACGCAGCAATATAAAAACAAGAAAGGTGGGCAAAAATAGAAACTTTGTTTAAGTTGTAGGGCAGTAGTTAATAATCCTAACATGAAACAATACCAAGGGTAATATAATGAAATATTGCTAGCATGAAAACAATACCAAGGGCCACATCATGAAATATTGTTAACATTAAAACGATACAAAAGATCATACGATACAAAAGATCAGACGATACAAAAGATCAGACGGTACGAAAGATCAGATGATACAAAAGATCAGACGATACAAAAGATCAGACGTCTGGGATGATTTACGTTTCCTGATCATCTCTTCCGACATCATTGTCCCCCAAGTAGTCCCCCAGTTTTTCCCTCAATTTTTCCCCCAATGTGTCACCCAATTCTTCCCCAATTTGTCACCCAATTTGTCCCCCCAATTTGTTTTTTTTTTTCTTTCGTGTTTTTTTTAAAGAGAGATTGTGTTAAAAATTTTTAGCAATAGTTTAATTGTTGCCTTCATGGTGTCAGTGATGGTCAGTAGTCGGAATGTTATATCTTGCTTTATAGATTTTGATGTCTTCTGGTTGCCTTTCGGCTTTCTTCTAGTTGCCTTTTTGCTGTCTTCTAGTTGCCTTTTGGCCGTCTTGTTGTTGCCTTTCGGCGGTCTTCTATTTGCCTTTTCGCTGTCTTCTAGTTGCCTTTTGGCGGTCTTATTGTTGCCTTTTTCTTCTTTTTCTATATATTAAGGGCCCACGATCAATTTATTTATCATTTTGGCTGTCTTCTAGTAGCATTTTGGCTCTCTTCTTGCCTGTCATCGAGTTAGTCTTCTGATTGCGTTTTGGCAATCTTCTAGTCTGCTTTGTGTTGTCTTCTAGTCTACTTTGAGTTGTCTTCTAGATCGCTTTTTGTTGTCTTCTAGTTGGATTTTGGCTAGCCATAAATGAACATTTTCGCAGCGAAATCAAGTTTTGCAGGCGTAATGCACCGAAACGCACATCTTAAGGAAGCTTTCTCTCTTAAATTATGTTGCTTACATTTGGAAGATCGTGTATTTTCATATTTTTTGTTTGTTTAAGAAACATACAACAACATGCTTAACCAGCATGACCAGGCATCGGAAGTCGACGTACCATCTCTTCAACCATCGCAAGAGGCGCCAGTTAAGAAAACTACCAAACAACCAAATCACATAGGTCAAAACACGAACTGCTGTTTTAAATTTAACATAACCTGTAGCCGCCTAGAAAGCCTGTTTCACGCGTTCGTCGATTTGACTTTAATCGTAATGGGATACCGATACCTCAACGAGTGCCCACTCCAGTACATGGTCCCCGTTTACCTTCTGGTCGCCGGGAGCTCCGGAATGGCCTTGACCTTTTTTAAAACGCTGGACGCCCTCACGACCCGCTGGTGCGACCTCAGCCTGTACGCGGCCACCTTGCTCAGCTGCTTTACCAGCGTCTGGTTCCTGGTCGGCAACTACGTGGCCTACGGTACGCCGAAAGGGTTGAGTTCGAACCCGACGGACAGGGGCTACTGTAACCCTGTCGTTTACTGGTTTACACTGGCTTACGTTACCATGGTGTGGATCGTTTGGTTCGTGGCCGCCTTCCTGTTCCTGTACGTCGCGCGTTGCTGTGACTGAAATGAGATGCGAGGAGAGCTATATATTGAAATAATCACCGGGAAATGACAACACAGAACCGCTTGTATAAGAATTCCAAGCGTTTTGAATTGGATGACTTCAACATCACTAAAGAATATTGACAGCCTGTAGCAATCACTGCTGACAGTCATTTTTTTTGGCTTGGACCAAATTTAAAAAGAAAATACTATCAATAATAAGCATGTTTTTCACAAGGTTCATTTAAGACCATCTATCATGTACCAATGTAGGGGACGCCGCCATGCGACGTGAGCCATTTGATACGGTGCGTTCGTCTGCTGATATCAGATATTATGTGATGATGGTAGTCCTTCTTGAACAGATGCGAAATAGTGAGAAACGAATTTCTTTCTTTTTTTTTTTAATCCTGCCATTTTAACAAAAAGAAATTGACAAAATGAATTTATATTACGCTTTTACTTAGCTTTGTTTTCCTGTATGTTTCTTTGTTTGTTTGTTTTTGGTGGATTCAGTAGAAATAAGTATTCAGTAGAGTTGGGTTTTTTTTTAAGTGCTTCCAGGAAATCGGTTGGAAGGCCAGATTACGCACTTGTCCTAGGACAGCGATTCTCAACCTGTGGCTCGCGATTCCTCTGGGGGATGGAGAAACCCTTCCACGGGGGTCACCTAAGGTCATCGGAAAGCACATATACTCTACAGTTATGAAGTAGAAAACATAAATAATTTTGTGATTGGGGGTGGTCGCCACAAGATGAGAAGCTGTGTTATAGGGTCGCGGCATTTGGAAGTTGAGAACCACTTCCCTGGGAGGTTAGTGAACCGCTAGGGCGGTGGTCGGCAAATCGTGGCTCGCCGCTTTTTAGCGCTGCTCTTTGGTGCCCTGAGTGCTGCTCTTTGGTGCCCTGGGTGCTGCTCTTTGGTGTCCTGAGTGCTGCTCTTTGGTGCCCTGAGTGCTGCTCTTTGGTGCCCTGAGTGCTGCTCTTTGGTGCCCTGATTGCTGCTCTTTGGTGCCCTGAGTGCTGCTCTTTGGTGGCCTGAGTGCTGCTCTTTGGTGCCCTGAGTGCGGCTCTTTGGTGCCCTGAGTGCGGCTCTTTGGTGCCCTGAGTGTGGCTCTTTGGTGCCCTGAGTGCGGCTCTTTGGCTCTGCGTATTCATGCGAACAATCATTTTCAAGCATGAACCTCATCGACAGTAAATTGAGAAATCGTCTCACTGATGAGAATCTGGATTTCTGCTTGAAATTAAAAACAACGACATGCACACCAGATTTTTCTCCACTTTCCAACGAAATGTAAGGTCATAGTTCACATTTAAATGCCTGTTTTGCATTTCTTGGCCATAAGATTATTTTTATAATATTTTGTTGAATTTAAGGTTTAATGCGTGTTTTGTATTTTTAAATCAATAAATTAAATTATAATTATTATATCTGGCTCAGTGATTATTTCAGAAATTTTCCCCCGTGGGGGCACTTCAGATTTTTTCGGGGGGGGGGGGGGGGGGGGGGGGACTGCCAACTGGCTGTGTTTAATGTTTAGTAGCTAGTTCTAAAACTTGCCTCTTGGCAGGCTCTTGAAAATAAATGCGGCTCTCAAAAAAAAAATTGTTATCGTCCTGGTGCTGATTTGTTTGGCGCTTTTGACTTATGAGTTTGTCGACCACTGCGCTGGGGGAACATCCAATTGGCGGTACAACTTGCACAGTGAGAGCGTGGCAGCAAAAAAATATATATAGTAGGAGATTAATTGCTTTAAAAAGAATGATAAACATAATTATGATTTAAGGGCAGTTGCTCGTCTGTATACATTTATTGATCCGCTCTTAAAGGACTTTTCCGTGTGAAATCTGCTTTAATGATTTTATTTATTTTTATAATGAAGGCATAGCAAAATAATAAAAAAAAAAATTTTTAAAATTAAGTTGAATCAAATCAACAGGACACTCGTAGGCGTGTCGTCCAGGTGACGTCTCCGCTGGTTTGAACATGGGCACACTTTGAAGTAGGGGAGACAAATGAGTTGTATCTAAGTTGAGAAATTCCGAATGCTCAACCTCCCTTTGCTTTATTTTCTTTGTTTAAACTATGTGCCGTGAAAAAAAAAATAACACATCAATTGTAACATTTTAAAGTACTGTTACATGTTTTGTATTGTTACATATTTTAATTCTAAAATAAGGGTGAATTATCTATAGGAGAAAAAAATGGCTTACAACACTAGCAACATGTATTTACAGAAAAATTATTTCAATTAAGAATCCTAAACATAATTTTACTATGATTAGCAATTCACCTCCCTCACCCCCAACCCCACCCCAATGTCTCACGGCATGAGGGGCTATAGTAATTTCTAGCTTGAAGGCATAACATCCACATTTTTGTTTAAACATTATAATCAACCAACAAAAATTGTCCATGTTTATCTCTTTGTTTTTAACCATTTTTTTTTAAAAGTAAACAATCCTGCATTCGTTGCTGCGTTCACTTGTGGCGCCCTCGGCCTGTCTCGGGCAAACATTCGTTCAATGTGTTCGTTCTGGTGTAGTCTGACCAACGGAATCATTGCCGGGCATTCTTCGAAACAAAACAAATTTGAAACTTGTTTGATCCCGGATGATCGACGTTAGTATACAGCACCGACGTCAGCCCCCGTGCTCAAAATTGTTCCGATGTCCTTCGCCTTCTGGCCACGTCGCCATTTACAGTCGTTTTTTTGAGCAAACATGGTCAGTGAAATCATTTAGCCTTGTTCTGTTTGCACGACTTACCTGGGCTGATATTACATTGGACGGGATACTGTTTCTGGGGTTCATTTTCGTTCAAGTTCCTGCTTCCTTTAGGATAGTTTTATCTTGTTACAAGAACCTTGCTCCGTTTGTACGCGCACACACACACAAATGTTGTTCCGGTCACAACGTCTAATGCATGGGCGAGCGCTCCGATCAGTGCGTCCGGCTAGTGAGCTGAGTCCCCTGCAGCCAACCGTTCAGCAGTACCAGACGTTGACGTAGTAGGCCAACGACAGGATGACGAGCATCCACATAAACATGACGTACCACACGGTGAGCCAGTAGATCCTGGGGTTGCAGTAGCTCTGGTCCGGGATGATCAGGTTCGACCTGCTTTTCGTCGAGCCGACCAGGATGTTCCCATACCCGAACCAGACGAAGATGAACAGCGCGATCACGGGCGAGGCCCTGTAGCTGTACTCGAACAGGAACATCGTGACGCGGTCGATTACCCTGGACACGTCGAAGGACAGCCCGGAGATGCCGGAGACGATGACGTACATGGGTATCATCGGTTCCCCCGGACAGTCGCCGTAGTACTTACAGCCTATGGCTATCAACGTAATGTTGATGCTGATGAAGCACGGCAGCAGGACGTTCTCCAGTTTGCCCGTCAGGATGGCGTAGCCCGGCGCGTGCACTACGCCTGACACAGTCCTCGACTTACGAGACGTGGCGATTTTCGTTTTCCCGGAATCCTTAAGGGCCATCTGCTTGCCGACACTTACAACAGTGGGCGTCTTTGGTGCTGGGGCCGGCGGGGAAGCAAGTGGTGGGGGGAGTACGAGGGTTGGCTTGAACTCCGTGTGGACATCAACGGCTGTCGGCGAGGTCTCATCCAATGAAGCACCATGGGGCTGATGCAGCGTGTCAGAGCTAGGCGCAACGTTTGGTGTAGCAGGCATTTTTTTTTTGTCCACAAATAATTTGTGCTTTGTTTTGTTTCATTTTGATGCACTGTTTTTAAACGCAACTCTTTGTTGGTGCTTTTTGGGCAGGAAGTCGAATTGAAATGTCAAGTTTAGTGTAGCGCGCAAACATATGTTCTAGAAAGCCAGCTCTTTCCAATGATATGCTTTCGCGAGGTTGCCATCGCATCAATAAAAGTTGGTGATTCTGACATCCCGTTGTCGTCCACTGTCAGAGACCTTGGCGTTTATATTGACAGTAAACTTAGAATGATTCCCCATATCAGTTCTGTGGTCAAGGCATGCTTCTGTCATCTGCACTCCCTGGGTCAGCTGCGTCAACTCAATCAGACAACAGCCAATGCCGTAGCTGTAAATCTAATCCACTCAAGATATGATTAGTGTAGCAGTTGTTTGTGGGTTTACCTCAGAACCAAATTCAGAGACTCAAGAAGTTACAGAATATTATAGCACGCATTGTATCGTGGATAAAGAAATTTGAACACTTCTCCCAAGTGCCTAGAGATCTCCAGTGGCTTCCTGTAAGTGAGCGCATTGACTACAGAACTGATTAATAAACACGTATCCTTAAAGAACCTGCGGTCTTCAACAAAGTCCTTACTGAGAGTTCTCAGTGTTCATTGACACAGGAACAAGTTATACGGAGTGCGGTCCTTTAAAGCGATAGCGCCAAAATTATGGCCCCAATCTTTGAGGGAAATTAAAAATTATAAAATTTCATTTAAGAAACATTTAAATACTTTTTTTATTTAAATAGAATTAAGAACATCAGAGCGCTATGGGCATGCTAAAGTAGCATGGATACAAGCGCTATACAAATATTCATTTCAATTCAATGCTCTTTGTGTATGTGAGATGTATTTATAACAGCTGGACCGTAATAGTGGCATCTTACATTATTTATTTATTTATTTTAATTTGAGAGTCACAAACGCAATGCAGTTAAGAAAATACTGGAAAGAGTAGAATGAGGCCTACAGCTTTATGTTTCCCTCCTGTCACCTTTTCGCAGTCCTTCATTTATAAACAGGATCATACATTCACCCCCTCTCCCCCCCCCCCAACTTCTCATATAAGATTAAGATCAGCACGATCAAGGCGAATTCTTTCTTTTAGAACAATTTCATTTTTTTTTTAAAATACATTTTCATTTATTTGAGTCTAATAAAGAATCACATCTTATTTTATTACACCTATACTCAGTTCACACGATCAAATCGTTCGTCAAATGTATGTATGATCGCAGTGTTTTGTGTGTGTGGTTTCTTTTTCCTCTCCTTTCTTTCTTTGGAAAAAAAATAGAATTTCAGTATTTTCCTAGTTTGGTCATAAAACACACCCCATTAGAGCAGTTTTAGCTAGTTTTTTTACATATATCTTCATAATAATACACCCCATAGTATGGTGGTTTTAGCGAACCCGCATGTATGCTCATAAAAATGCAACCTACAAAATGTATGTTTATTATGAATCATGTTTTAAATATGAAATGAAACCATTCGAAACAAACTTTGCAAAATTCAGATTTAAAATAAATTCCATTTTTCATGCATTCTTAAAGTGGACTAGACGTGTGGGTGGACACTTGAGTATTGTTGTCCACTTGCCTTGTGTTGTCCACTTGCCTTGTGTTGTCTACTTGCCATGTGTTGTCCGCTTGCCTTGTGTTGTCCACTTGCCTTGTGTTGTCCACTTGCCTTGTGTTGTCCGCTTGCCTTGTGTTGTCCACTTGCCTTTTTTCTGAAACAAATGATAGGTCTAAATTTATTTTGACGTTTCACCCCGATAACCTTAAAGGACTTTTTCTGGTTCTGAAAAACCGCTAAATTTGTTATAGCAGACCCTGTCACCAATAAGGTTTTCAGAAAACCTCTTTTCGCTTTCCTGAGGGACAAGAGCCTTAGGGACATGCTAGTTACAAGCCATCACCTTGCAATTAAAACACGTAAATGCACCAAAAGTTGCAACCGTAGCCGTTGTAACACGTGTACCTACGTGATTGAAGTTGATAAGATCACTTTCCCTCTGGAAATATTCAGAATAAAAGATGGCTTTAACTGCATAAGTCGCAACGTGATTTACACCGTCCTTTGTAAAAAGTGCGGTAAATTATACGTAGGAGAGACAGGTCGTCGCCTTGGAGACCCGTTTAGAAAACACCTCTATAACATAAATAAACAGACTCTCTGTCCGGTCTCCAAACATTTTAATAGCACTTACCATGATGGAACTTTAGACATCGCAGTTACTGGTATACTGTATACTATATGGAGAATAAATTAATAACAAGATTTGGTACGTTGACTACATATGGAATAAACTACTACCAGGTTTTTCCTGTTTGGTTTTTTACATTTTACTTCAAATCACTTCCTTTCCATTTTTCCTTACTTTGTTTCAGTCTGGTTTTTGCGCCCACTCCTATTTTTCCTCTTTTTTTAGGAAGGATGTATGTATTTCCATATGTAAATTTAATGTATAATTATTTTAAACATTTGTTTGTACACTGATGAAGGCATGTGCCGAAACGTTTACTTGTGTATCATGGAAAATTATTATTAAAGCTTAACATAAATTGTTATATTGACACAAATTGTTCATGTCTAATTATTTAATTTTTTGGGTCCAATTGCATTACAAAGCTATTGTTGACATTTTTTCGCACCGGAATCTGTTCACATTTTTTACGTCCTGTTAGCACGCCCGGTTGTGAAATAAACTTAACAATCCTCTACATGATAATAACAGGGTTGAATGTTTGTATTCATACAAATACTTTTGAAATTATAATGTGTACAAATATTTTCCATAGTTTTCTATTATTTGTTAAAGATATTTGCCCCTTATTCATATTGGGGAAGAGTTAAGAATTTTTATTGCAAAATCAAATTTAATTGTATGATGTTATATGTGCAGAAAAAAAATCGTTTTATGATATTATATTATGTTTATATGTGTAAAAAAGTTGTTATGTTATCATATAATATGTGCAGAGAAAAAAAATGTTTATTTTATTTTAAATGTGAAGGAAAAAAATGAATACAATGCAAAAAACACTCCTTTACTTTTTAATGCTAAATATTCAATACATTTTTTTTTCTGTTTCCAAGTAGAAAGAAATTTGTATGTATATTTTAAAGTTTGGTGGTCTTTTTTAAAACTTTCTATTAGATAAATTGTTATCTCGTATTCATATTATGGCAATGAAATTGATTGTGTAAAATTGCTTTTTTATTTTTTATCGTAGAAAAAGCCTTTTTGACTAACCCTATTTTGAAAGTGACCAAGCCGACAGGCTCGTAATTTCCCTCACTCGTAAACATTAGCGACAATTTTAATATGGATTATTTAATACTCTGTCATACTATTTACACAAGTATCGTTGTGCGTTAACCACTAATTGTCTTTTTAACTTTTTTCAAAACCGCACTTTGGCCATGTTTGTCTCCTAAAATGCTATAAAATAAAACCTTTTAGTCCCATTTTAAAACAGTTTTTATCATTATAATCCACGTCCAAAGCTAAATGTATATGCCGGTATACATTAAGAATAACATTGACATAAAGTTTAAAGAAGCTTATTACACAGCAATTATTGGAAGTGTTACAAATGGCATGTATGTGGGCATGGGCGCCCGCAGAAAACTTTCTAGGGGGGGGGGCAAAAAAATCGATTAACTTTCCAGGGGGGGGGGGCAAAAATTTTTTAGTAATGTTTTATTATAGTTTAATTTACTGTAGCGTATTTGTATGGTGAACGAACCGACAGGACATCAGCTTAGTTACTTTCTCTTTATTTTCTCTTTACTTTAATAATTTTTTTGTCTAATTTTTGTCTAAAATTTTTTTATCCAATCAATCCAGGGGGGGGCAAGTGCCCCCCTTGCCCCTACCTGCGGGCGCCCATGTATGTGGGGGGTCACATAAATATTCGAGAACTCGTCAGGAGTATCAAATGTAAAAATGTTATAAAACTTTTCTAGTTGGATATGCCCGGTATATAAAAAAAAGCCTCTTGAATTTTGTAAAGAATATCAATGAAAAGAAGCATGCAACATTTGAAGGCTGTAGCTGGAATATTTTTCCTCCCAATTCATTTGGCGTTCCTAAAAAATCCGGGAAATACAAAATTGGGAAAAATGAAAAAAAAGTATAAAATTGTGGGGTTTTTTTTAATTAGAGGGCTGCATGAACGATATAGGATGCATATGCCATGTACAAATATCCTTTATGAATTAAAAAACAATTAGAAAACTAAGACAGAAAAGATAGAAAAAAAATTAACACACGAACCTAATAAAAAAAAATACATAAATAAAAAATTCTGAAAAATTTTCCTTTGAGATATTTGTTTGAAAACCATCCATAATTAAGTAGAGAATGTCAATATAAATAAGCATGCAAATTTTAAATTATGTAGTTCCAAAACTATTCCTCCTGATTCATCAATTGACGTCAGAAAAAAAATGAAAATGCTATATCGATAAAAGCTGAAAAAGACACTGACAAATGCTTATTAAAAAAATGAAAGGTTACTTGAACAACATTGGATGCATACATCATGAACACAATCCATACGTTAATTTAAAAAAAAACAATTTAAATACATAGATATAATTGAATGCATTTTCCCAACAACCCACTAGCCTCGAGCCTAATAAAAATAA